AAATTGTCAATGCGTTGACCGGTGTTAATATAGTTTATACTTGTACATTTGCTGGATTCTACACAGTTAAGATCTTAAGGCATTGAAGCATGACGGTCCAAATATTAGGGCTACAAGACTAATTATTAAAGCTGATTCATCTGCATGTATGGATTTTATCCAAAAGTTGTTGGATCCTCAAGTCACAAGACCAACTAATGAAGTTGGTGCGTCAATAACTATCCCATTTATAGGATTTTTAGTAAACTCTCAGCTATCAACGGGTTTGATGAGCCTTTACTGACTACCGTTTGAGTCGGGTTAGCATATAGATTGTTTAAATCCGTTCTACATGTAACGTTATGCTAAAAGAGTTAACTCTTTTAGTGCTACGATGTTGAATGCATAAGCTTCATCTTTCTTACAGGAATAGACTACCCAACAATACGTGTTAAGCATTGACTTATCCCTACTTAGGTTTCAGGATAAAATTCCCCAGACTTGTATTCTGGTGTCTTTTACACTTGGTGAAAGTCTTTTTATAAGACTTTTACACCATGAAAATAACTGATTACAATCTCTTTCAAACAATGCACAGATCCTATTTATTAGTTTCTGTTTGCGTGGGATCTTTACCTGTGTCGGGGATGTTGATATCCGTGGACCACCTACAGATCAGATCTGGTTAACAGAATGATTAATCAGAGCTCCTACTTCACAAATGAAGTATTTGCTGAAGTACTGATATTGACCAAGCGAAATCAGTACTCTTCTTGAGATTAAGACCAAACCTAATCTCAAGGAAAGGTAGAAACATGCTTTAGATCCTTTGAAAGAGTCCTTCTTCTTGCCGAAGTTCGCTGGGATCTCGCTAGCCCTTGCTGAAATTCATGGCTCTTGGCTCTGAAGTTTGGCAGCACCTCCTTGTCTTGATAATAATTCATCCCTGAGAATGGTGGCCCTAGGCTTGTTTTTATAGGGCCTCGGATGCGGTATTTGGATAAGAATAAGAGATTTGGCCTTATCTTCAGTCAATAACGACCTAACCACGTTTATGGATGCAAGCAGTTGAGACACTCCGAAACGAACAAATCCCGAGAAAATAGTAAAAAAAACCGTCAAAAACACGTTCTGGGGGGTTTCTGGCGCGCGGAAGGTCACGGTGACCCGCACGACCGCGGGTCACCAAGTGGTGACCCGCACCATCACAGGTCACCTCTTGGTGACCCGCGTGACCGCGTGTCACCAAGTGGTGACCCGCCCAACCGTAGGTCACCTCTTGGTGACCCGCACGCCACGCGAGTCGCCTCGAGACTTAGCCATTTTAGCTTTCCCGAACTTTGTATTTTCTATCGTTTTGCGTACTTGATTGTCTTGTTGACTTGTACGACTCACTGACTTGCTTCATGTGTTCGTTATCTTCTATACGATCTTGAATGATCCCGTTTGACTCAAATGATGACATTCATTGTCTTCTCTGAGTAGTGTTCGGACACCTATAGGTATTTTTTGACGCCTACACAGGATTGTAAACTTTCCCAATCATTGAATCTATTAATAAACCATGCATATCTTTATAGACCCACTAATGAGTGTCCTCATGCAGAACATGTCTCTATCGAGACCCACTTTTATTACCACCTGTCGGTTAAGCTTACATCACAAAGGGCATAATCCATGAATATAGAATATCAACAACCAATAAATGAAAGAATACTTTCATTCTCAATCATGGAATCATTGAAGCAAGTCAAATTGCCACAATGTAATCATTCAGAGAATATCTATGATATAATACCGAAATGAAAAAACAACGAGATATCAATAATTATATAATCAACAAAAAGACCATGCATGAAGTGATTATAAAAGTGAGCATCAAATATCAACTCATAGGAATTTTAAGAAAGCAATTAATCAAACTCTCAAAGAATGAGAGGGAACAATAAAAGGTTGCCTACTATTCGTACCGGGTCCCTTAGTATCAACGGACGAATCCAAATGTCTTACGTCTATACATACATACACGTACAACTTCTACACGACCATATTATATTCATGCTTAACAAAGATGCACATGACACTATATGCAATGTATGATCATGAATGGACATCAAAGTCAGCAATTTATGTCATGATTTGTGATGACAAAATCGTTACCTAAAGAGGGTCCAAATTGTATAAATATAAGGTCACTTGTATAAAATGTACATCCTAAGACATCGGGTTTGGCGTCAGTTAGGTGACCGAATATATGAACAGATACATGACATGCATAGACTAAAGTATAGTTCTCATTGGAAGATACACAGGACTGTTTGAGAGTCCAAAATATGTCCAAAATGTATAAAACTAGTGCTACATGACTCTTACATGTGTCTAGTTTTTGGAATAACAAGTGATTTGCAAAAATAATACATATAACTCAAGTTATACTCAATACATTCATGTCGTATACAAACTGCAAGTGCGGATCACAATATCATATTCAAGCAAATAATTGAGAGGCTAAACGATATCCAAAATTGGTGAGACAAAGTCTAAATTGTTTTTATACAAGTCTAATTTTAGTAACACTACATGCAAGCTTCTTAAGGAGAGTTATACTCTCTACAATGTATAGGGGTCAAGATTATAGACTTGTGCTAGAACCAAAAACACTAACATATCTATCTAATCCTTTTAGGTGCCAAACATCATCAAATTGTACTCAAAATTATGATATAGATTTCTTGATAAATCTAGTTTCAAGTTATAATTTTTTTTTTGCTTCACAGATAGATATTTAGATACTTGTAAAACATCCAAGGAGGGCAATCTACATATCCTATGCACATACATTGAATGTAATCACAGATTCAAATAACAAAATGATCTCAGAATTGAATAAAACTAAATTCAAATTAAAGATAATGGAGTCTAGAATTAGATGTCTATAGAGTGAGTTATGGCAAAAACACCAATAAGGTGTCCTGTAAGAATTCTTCTGCACGAGATTGAGGTTTAAATATTGACATGCAAGCCATGTATCAAATAATTCAGAGCAGGACCACCATAAATTGATCATGACAAATCTAAAAACCATTATTATATTTTCTATTTTTATGAATACAAAGATCACATTTTTACCTCAATTTATTGACATGCACGAACTATCTTAGCTTATATGTTACATGCAACCACTAATCCTTAGATGCAAGACAAAAAAGTAACATGAACCCTATAATTCAGATTTAAATCTACAATGATTATATCCAAAGGAGAATTTGAGATTAATTACCTAGTGTGAGGCCTTGTTCCTCTTCCTCCTCCAAAATTCTCTAACTAGATCCTCTTACTACTTATTTTCCTTCTTGGGTATTAGGTGTATGCTTTAGAAGAGAGGAGAGCTTGAGAGAGTGTGATTACTGGAGAAAATGACAATAGAGTTTGGGGATTTTGGGCTAAGATTATGGCCAGCCTAGAGTAGAAGTGAATGAGAGAGTTTTGAAGAAAGAGTAAAAGTGAACAATGAAGGAAGGTTGTGTGCATATGTAGGCTTGGTCTTGTGGCTTAGGAGGGGTTTTTGTGAAATTTCCCCCTCCACACATGGCTACCAAAAACTATTTAGATATGGTATTTATATTGTTTTTATAAACTCTTTATCATTTTAGTTTAACTTTAATCAAGGTTTAAATCTTGGATGATTAGGGTTCTCATGCTAGGGTTAATATGCATGTTATAACTTGACAAAATAGAACTTCAATGAGAATATAGTCATAATTCATTCTCATGACATTGAAAGATATCAATGCAATTTGCAGATCCAAGAGTCGATATTGGTAATGGTATCTAAGCATCAGAAGGAGAAATTAATTACAATGTTGCAACTCTACCACATCCCAGAGATGCTCCCTAAATATTTGACTAATAGTGCATTAATATGTGGAGCCAACATTCTTTGGCCTGAAGGGCATAACAGTGTATCCAAATATGCTGATAGGAGTTGTGAAGGTCATTTTCTTCATATCATCCTCGTGCATTTTGATTTGGTTATATCTATAGAACCCATCTAGAAGGATAAGCGTTCAAACCCGCATGTGTTATCAATCATGACA